AAATATTGCTCCAATACAGAAATACACGGAGTTGAAGTTCTAATTTCAATGTCAAATGTATGTACTCCATACTTGTTCTTACCATTTCTTCTTCTTCTTTACTTACCGTGACTTTAATTGTAATTGGCCATCACTTTTTATAGGAGGTATGGTTGTAATCTGTTACCAGACCTATTTTCTTTGTACCTCAGATTTTAATATTTAAGAAGCAACTGGTTCTAACATCATGTTAACGAGGTAGATTACCTTCAATTGTTCCCTACCTTCTGATCTAGTTTTTTGACAAGAATTAATTGTTTTGCTATCTCTCGTGTACTCCCTAAACACCCCTAAACAACACACCCCGCGGAATGACGCCTGGTTTGAATCACTTTGTGTATGTCTCAACAGTTGAGGATTTGAAGATGGGACAGGTGTAGGCTGCCCTTTTGCACCTTTCCCCGCACCAGATTTCTTGATTTCATTAATTACTATTACCAGAGCGAATGAGAAAAAAAGGTATCAAAAGTATCTCTTCTTATTTTTTTCTCATTTTCCGTTCGACTCCTCCTTCGCAGTAACTTTCTGCCTCTTGGACTATCTGGTAGATGGTATTTATTTCGATCGCCGACAAACAGAAAAGATAAAAACGAGGTAAATGAACTCAATCCGGGTCAAAACACGCACATTTATCTCGGAATAGGACCAGTAATGAGTAGTTATGTTTCTCGGGAATTAAACACTATTTGGGATATTGATACGCAATTTTATGTCCACACTGTGCGATGCCGCCGAAGCTTTTTGGCCAAACGTCGAATCTCTCACCTTGCGTTCGATTTTACTTTCAATCCTTATTGCTTGCATGTCTGACTTGCAATCGTGCGATTACTTCATCGGCCGTGCCAAAAACCGCTTATGCAGAATTGGGGATTAGCGCAACCACTGTTATAATTATTTCTGTTTCGTGCGGAATTAATTCTTTGTTTATTTGTTTAAATCCTCTACAAACAAGCCGATCTAAATGGTCCATTTAGCGAAACTGTTGTTGAACAGAGAACGCGAGAGATAAGGGGGTTAGGCTTATCGCAATTTGCAGATTTTGGCGAGTTCATCGACCTTTTTGCGGATTTTTCGTCCATTGTTCTTATCTTGAGTATGGCGCAAATAATGAAACACATTAATTCACGAATCAAAAGGCACATCTACTAGAGCCGAGGTCTACTTCATTGCAAGGTAACTAGAAACAGAGGCTCAAACCTCAAACGAAGTCATAAAAATTTGCTTTGTTAACGTCAGAAGCGTTCAGATGGCAGGCCTTGAAAAACGAATGTCCCAATTTTTGGTTGTTCACCTCGGACGCGAGATAAGGCGCCCTTATCAGCGATCAGGCATCAAGTATGGCAAAAAATTGCGAATCTCTTCATTTTCGGTAGTAGTCGAGTCGCAAAGGTTGGCACACACGTGAGAAGGGATCCTGGAAAAAGCACCGCGTTCACGTGTCGGTAAAGCACGCACGGAAGGCCGTTGCCGCTTCGAAACAAGCAAAGGCGCGCGCCCAGCCTCCCACGTTTTTGCCGGCTTTTCCTCCCCTACACCTTGGGGTGGTTTCAATTTAGTTTGATTGAGACTTTGCGAAGTTTTGGAGGTGGCTCTGTCGCTATCCGCCGCTGATGCGTCACAAGTGGTTGAATCGAGTGGTGTCGTCGACCCCAAAGATGAAAACTTTCGTCGGGAAACTATCTCCGCCTCAACTTTTTCCACCAGGTAATTTCGTTATTTGATTCTTTTCTAGTGGCATTTGTTTCAAGGGCACAAGCGATCCCTGAAATTATTCGTAATATTTTTACCAAAATTCATTAGCTTCCCATCACCTACTACTGTTAATACTTATCAAAATTTGTCTTTTTTTGGTTATTAATTGGTTACAAAACGTCGAAATATTTTCGGATTATAATATTTATGACTTAATCTATCTATAAATTTGGCTGCTATCAAAGTTACAACCGTTTGAAAAGTCCTCTCATGCAACCTCGTTGTTGCGGTCTGGGTTATTTTACTGGCGTCGCCACCTAGCGCGCATTGCTCCAACGATTAATTGCCTTGAGATGAATTCAGATGGCGCCGATGGACAGATTCTGATCATTTTCGCTGTTGGGGAATCTACAATTTCACCCGCCGTCTATAACTAGAATCTCATTAATGGTTTTTTTAATTGATTAATTTTGAATACACAATTTTACTACTTGAAGACTGGCCTTTTTAAGATGGCCACAAAATAGCAAATGTAACTCTTGTTATTCAACCCTGGTAATTGTAAAATCGCGATGACCCCATTTCTTCTAATGGGCTCTCTTTGCCTGTGAGGCTTTCCCGGGAAGTTAGCACTTCCTCTTTGTCATAGAGCGGCTTCGACGCGGACTCGATGACTCTTTACCGTCGCAATCGGGGTCACTCACTTCGCTAGTCAGCGTTCTTCGACCCCATTCGGGGGGGGTCGATCTGTTTCCAGAGTGTCATCGCCGGCAGGCCGTTCGCACTGTGCGAGGAGTTCAATAACTTCATCCGCGTTTCCTAGACGAGTAAATCGACTTGGATCGAATTTGATTTCAGACGTTTTACTGCATGCTCTTAGTTTTAGTGATTTTAGCTGTACATTTTGCTGGATCGCTCACAGAGTGGCTATTTGTAACAGACTCGGAGCGGGCGCGTTTTAGTTGACTAAAACGACGCTTGAGGGGCCTCTTTGCACCTCTTGAAAAGAGGACGACGATCTTGTCCTTATTAATAATAGCTGAACTAGTGCAAATTGAACTGATGTAAATGCTTTTATATCGCATAAGACTTTCCTAATATTGGCCGCCTTGGGTAATGGTTCGATGAAACTTCGAGAAGCAATTTTCCGAAAAACATTTTCGAAACGAGTTTTCCGGTCGTCCCAGTTTATCTTCTTTACCTCTTTTATATATTTTCCATCTTTCTTATATATCTACTAAAGTCAATTACAATAATTAACAAAAACAACACAAGAACAAACAGCACAATGAAAATAAACAAACATACGTTAAAAGTAGCATTAATCATAAGTAAAAGGATAAAAAATAAAAGTAAAAAATTAAATTTCGTTAATGGCTTCTAAAAACATTTCTGTGTTGTTTACAACGCTGTGTGTAGCCGCCCGTTCTGGGATAGGCGCTGCTATGTGCTTCTACATTTCCCTAGATTCATGGTTTGCCACTTCCGCCGGATCCACTATTCTAAAGAGTTATCTTCTCCATCTTCCCCTCGTTGTGGTATTCACCCGTATCCCTGGGCAGGGGAAAACGATATACCCCGTTTTGCTGGGTCCCCAGCAGGACTTAGCGGAAGACTTGTGAGTCACTCCCACCCCCGCGACGTGGACGCGCCTGCTGAGAGTTGCCCAAGTGGATGTGTTCAGAGAAGGGTCTTTGTTTTCCCTTGGGCCGGGTTACTGCTCATGTTTGGGATCACAAGCAAAGGCTCTTATATATCTACTAAAGTAAATTACAGTAATTAACAAAAACAACACAAGAACAAACAGTACAATAAAAATAAACAAACAGACATTAATCATAAGTAAAAGGATAAAAAATAATAAGTAAAAAACTAAAGTTCGTTAATGGCCTCAAAAAAATGTTCTCTGAAGAGACCAACGGTTCTAGCCTGTACTGTAATTGTCCAATTCTCTGCTGCAGACATCTTTCGAGTTGTTAGAGCTAGTGCTAATTGAAATTATGTAATTTTTTTTTTATCGCATAAGACTTTTCTATCATTTGCCACCTTGGGTGATGGTTCGATGAGACTTCCAGAAGCAAGTTTCCGAAAAACATTTCATAAACGAGTTTTTGGGTTCTCCAAGTAAACTATTTTTTATATATCTTCCATCTTATATATCTACTAAAGTAAATTACAATAATGAACAAAAACAACACAAGAACAAACAATACAATAAAAATAAACCAACACACATTAAAAATGGCATAAATCATAAGTCAAATGATAAAAAGTAAAAAATTAAAGTTCGCTAATGGCTTCTAAAAAATGTTCTCTGGAGGGACCAACGCTTCTATCCTGCATAGTAATTGTCCAATTCTCTGCTGCAGACATCTTTCTAGTTGTTAGAGCTAGTACGAATTGAAATTACGTAAATGTTTTTTTTATCGCATAAGACTTTTCTAATATTTGCCACCTTGGGTGATGGTTCGATGAGACTTCCAGAAGCAAGTTTCCGAAAAACATTTCAAAAACGAGTTTTTGGGTTCTCCAAGTAAATTATTTTTTATATCTACTAAAGTAAATTACAATAATTAACAAAACCAACACAAGAACAAACAATACAATAAAAATAAACCAACACACAATAAAAATGGCATAAATCATAAGTCAGATGATAGAAAGTAAAAAATTAAAGTTTGCTAACGGCTTCTAAAAAAATGTTTTCTGGAGGGACCAACGCTTCTATCCTGCATAGTAATTGTCCAATTCTTTGCTGCAGACATCTTTCTAGTTGTTAGAGCTAGTGCGAATTGAAATTATATAAATGTTTTTTTATCGCATAAGACTTTTCTAGTATTTGCCACCTTGGGTGATGGTTCGATGATACTTCCAGAAGCAAGTTTCCGAAAAACATTTCTAAAGCGAGTTTTGGGGTTCTCCCAGTAACCTCTTTTTTATATAACTTTCTCCTTTATCCATCTTTCTTATATATCTACTAAAGTAAATTACAATAATTAACAAAAACAACACAAGAACAAACAGTACAATAAAAATAAGCAAACATACATTAATAATGGCATTAATCATAAGTAAAAGGATAAAGCTTAATGGCTTCTAAAAATGTTCCCTGGAGAGACCTGTACTCTAATTGTCCAATTTTCTGCTGCAGATATCTTTCGAATGGTTGGAGCGCTGATTTTGATCATATGAAGTTCGGAACTTCTTTGCTCAAAATCCCCCTATCAAAAGAATCTTCTAGAACTTTTTTCGCCAATTCAGGAACATCGTTCTTGTGATCTGAAGAACATTGGGAACCCTTTAATTTCATTACATTGATCACAGTTGATTTACGTGTTCACTGCATTTTACTCTATGGCAGTACTTAACCTAATTCTTATTGGAAATTAATTCTAAACCTATCCTAAAAATCTAAGACTATCGTCATATATCATTGCTTCGTTATGGCGCAGGATCTTGTCATCGTTGCTTAGTCTTCTTCATCTACTTCTCTCCTCATGCTGCTGAATCTTCACTGTTTCGACTCCCAACATAAAGCTGTGTTGATGCTGAAGTGTGTTGGCATGTACTATAAGTGTTGTCTCAACTGTAGAGATATGTCCTCAAGAAGAACATAAGTAACTCTTCTTGTGGCCATCCATTAATGGTAAACCGATGCCGAAAATGAGCTTGGAGCCGTGGATTTTCCTCATGCAGAATCACCCCCTCAAATTTGTTGCACTTATTTACTAACTCACTGTATACTGAACAGACGTGCACATAAGTATTAAGTTTGCTAATGTAAGCCAAGATCACAGATAAATATTGCTATGTTATACTCGTCGTTATTGTCACATAGTTTCCCTCAATCGAAGACACTCGAGAAAATTGTCTTGCAATGATGCGTGCTCGAATAGTGTTCGTAAATGTAGGCAACGAGGAGGAAAAATGCGCCGAGCGCTGTAATCGTCAAACAGCGCAATTGAGGTCGAGAGCCTTCTAGTTGGTGTGACTGACCTCGATTTTGGGGACGGAAAAAGGGGGCGGTCGACCGCCCTCTGCGAGAAAAAATACGAACTTATTCACAATCAGTTCAAGTGAATTTTATTGCGGAAAATATTTAGATTAAAACGCCGGACAATATGAAAAACGAGTTCGGAATCAGTTCACATCCCATTATTGGGGTCACCCATTGAATATCCTTTAACCGCAACTGGTTGTGCCAAAAGCAATTGTCTAGCGAAAACAAGTGCCTCCTAAAATCCATAGCATTAGCCGTTTAATTCGTTACGGCATATCCGATTCGATGATCGATTACCAAAACAAAGTAAGTTCAATGTCGAGAACGATTACGTCGGTTGCCAAGTCGTTCTTCGTTCGGCGCGAAGAAGAAGTTGCAAGGAAGGTGAACTAACTTTTCGAGGACAACTGGCGACTTTTCGTTTTGTGATTTTTTCGCACCGCTAAAGCAGAAGGAGCGGACAAAGCAACGCCAACGTATTTTGCGACCTTGTGTGTGTCAGGGCCGTTTATGTCGGTTATAAATCTGATCAGGGGGAGGTATTTCGGTTAGAATGGTCCTGATATTGAATAAGTCGTTGTGGAGAGGCCGGTAGCGTTTCAAATGTTGGCCTGTTTCTGTGGAATTTCAAGAGCAAAACCGACAGAGATGGAGAAGAGGACGTTCGTTCTCCTTCCGCATCTGAAGCAGGCCTGAGGTTGCGTCTAACGACCGAAAGACGTTTCCGGGTTTCAAGGTCTCGAGGTCAACAAATTGCTTTTTGGTTATTCACTGGTGAATTTTTGTGGCACTCAAATCGGCGCTTCCGCTTTATGGAACGGCCACCAAACTTTTTTCTCTGCAATAGTACTAATTGAATACTTTCATTCACACTTACGCGCCTAGCGTTCAATGGAGGTTCATCGGCCTCCCAAGGGTCGATGCATGGCGTCGTCGCGACGGAGCTGCACCTAACGGTGTCGATCAGCGGGTTCGATGACGCCGCTGCACTGAGTGCATTTACCCTGCCGACCATGCACCAGGAGCAGTTGCCTGCAGAATACTCGCAGCAGATGGTGATGGCAATTACGTGCAGGTATCGTTAAGCCTCACACCTGTGAAGGCGGCTCTGATTCCAATCCATGCGTGTGTTGCCGCCCGGTACTGCTAAATAATCACTCAATTTAGATGACGCAAATCAGAAGAACTTAAAAACTTTAAACATCCGATTTGTTGCTATCTCAAGTTCACGGCAATTTTAATACATTCGGATGATCTGATTGTCATGTACATTCAAACAGTTGCAAGGTTTTTTCATCAAATGATATGAATAATTACGATAATTATTAAAACATAGGGATAATCCTAGACGGAAAACTAAAATAACATCATGTTCTAAAGATCATTCCGAACGAACTTAATAAATGTACCACGAATTTTTGAACTTACCATTTCGCACCAAACGTTAAATTAAAATTTAAGGAAAGGAAAATGATTTGTATCTTTAGGTGGTTTGCTAGACGCAGAATCAGTTCTGAAGATGCAAGCCCCTCGGTTTTGCAAAACAAAATTATATCCCTCGAGGGCCTAAACGACCACGAAAAACTCTACCAGTTTCAATCCCATCAAGTTAATTTTAGTCAATCTCTTCTGACATAAACAAATAAAAAATCTTTCAATCAATTTCCAAATTTCAAAAAGCAGCTCCAGAACCCTATAGACCTAAATTTGTATCGAAGAATCACCCCTTAAGATTGTGCTCTTGTATACAATATACGAGACCGTGGTATGGGCATAACCTGAAGCTTTTCGCCCATTCGATTTTTGCAGATGACCCGCCCTTTTTCTTAAACCCCTATTTAAGGTGCCACTGCAGTACCTTGACAACACGCACCGCAGATGCCACTAGTATTAAAAGGTTTTTTTGCCTGCCTTCTGAAACCACGGGTCGCTTCCGGGTTCAAAATGGGCTGGTAATAGATGGTACCTTCTTCGGAAACTTGAGCATTCGTTTTTAGGTGTAAGTTCTCTAAATGTCGGTTTCCTATTTATGGAATATTTTATTCAAATTCTCTAGCCAAAGTGTCTTCTGCATGGTGCGGCAGGTTTTTGACCTCGGAAACGTCGGCGACTTATAATAGCTTCTTAACTCTCGTCGGATCCGTTACTCCAACTAGGCCTTAATATTATTAGTGTACGCTTACATGTTATAAGCGACATATTTATGGGCTTTTCCAACATGGATGCACAACAGCAACGTTTTCTATACGCAAGGTGCGTTGAACTGATAATCGCGGAGTTATTTTTTTGGTTTTTTGGTTTTTTGTCATCTGACTGGCCACTTCGGCACTATTGATTCAATATCAAGGCTGCGCAGCCCTGCGGGATAAAGATTCGCAATTACTTTCAACACCTTCAAATCCTGTTGCAAGGTTGACTTTAATGATTATCGTAGAAAAAAGAACGCCAACTGTTTCTGCTTGGTATTGCGCGAGTGGATGGTCCTTGTAGCGGTCCATATCCTGCTGATTTTTCGGAACAGTAAAAAGTGGAAGAGGAATTTCCAGTAAATTCGTAAAACAATAAACTTCAAGCGGCGTAACCGATGCGGTAAACAAAACACAACCGGGTCCGCAGTTGAATGACTTTCTTCCAACTTGGTAAACAACCGAACGCGTACGTTTGCGTTACAACATTACAACGAAATGTTTACGTTTAAACCAGAATCGTTAAGTAATTGGTTTCTGGTTTGTTTTTTCATCGGGTGGCGTTGCGACACACGCAATACGATATTTACAAGTACAAGAAAATTCAATCAAACAGCAGTTTTCAATTCAACAAGCACTAAGTAGCTGGTTTCTACCTGGAAAATGGTGATGGTTAAATAGAACCTTAAAATCGAGTACTACCACATGTTGCTAACTTCTTTTCCGGAGGGTGACTTTATCCTTTCTTCTGCAGAAGGCTTGCCGTTTTTTAGGTTGCTTCAACGTACTAGATGAATGTTACAGGATAAACATAAATTGGCTCCATTCGTTTTAAGAAAGAGGTACTGGGGATTACTTGGTGTGGCTAGATAACAAATTCAGCACTAGATCTCTGCTGAGGGCGCTTTCAGATTCGGTGAAAAAGGGCATCCGCAAGGTGCTATTCTTCTTTTTTGCTTATAATCCATCCTTGTTCGAGGTAGTTACGGATCGTCGTTCTTTCGGTTTCAGTATTCATCTATGGGTTCTGTGAGCCTGTGGTTGTTTTTACCTTGGGTAGGGAGCTGGCCCTGACCCATGAACCCTCCTCCTTTTTCCGGGCTTGGGACCGGCAACATAATCACAGGGCTACTCGGTTCACCCCGCGATCATGCAGGCGGAGTTACGATCATCCTTATAATCGATTTATGCAATAGTCAAATGAGCGTGACATTTTAGCAATATGAAATGTTAGTATTTCATTTTCAAGTCAAGCTAGTGAAGACTGAATGGAGAACGTTTCCCAGTTACAAGTTTTTTTGCAAGCCAACGGCGCTATGTAAAAATTGCATTCTATCTGAACACTTGAATCGTGTACTCTAATACGTTCACACAACACAATTTTCATTGACCCCGGAGGGGATGGTCACTAGAATCGTTCTGGCAGACATACCTTTTTGAGGTTTTAAGCCTGTTCAGCCTCTTAGTGGTTTCTCCATACGCGCTGAGTTTTATCTTGTTTTTACTTCAGTTCGCAGATCTCTTTACTATCGGTGCTTTTCGTTTCTGCTTGCTCTGAATTTGTTTTTTTTTTTACTGCAATTGTCAAAGATATTTTGGTGATGCGATTATAATATGCTTGGTGCCCTTCAGGCTTTAGCAACAAGTTGACAGTGTATGTATTATAATTATATGGCGCTATCAGATCCTTCAAAAATAATAAATCAGTAACTCTCTTAATACGGGCCTGATTTGGATTATGGAAAATTTGTTCTACAGTGAGTGATTTTGTCTAAAAATCGTATTTTGTATATGTACTTGAAGTCTTAAAACGTGAAAGTCATAAGAGCTTGACGGACAATAAGGCGATTTTTCATGACACATTTTATAAGTGTTCTTTGTGGATTTAAGGTCGCATGTCGAATTTTTGGAGGAACATAATTTTTCCTACAGAGGCTTCTTTGGTTGAATTGTGGCTTTGCTCTAATTGTTTTTATTTGTGTGTACATGATAAATAAAGTATAAAGTAATATTTAATGCAGCTAGATACCTCAAAAGAGGATAATCTCTAAATTCAAAGGAATAATTTTATTCGCTAGAATGGGCCGTTAGTTCGGAAAGCTGGACCTGCGTTACCTGATATATCCAGCTTACACATGCATCTTGTTATAGGTATAGCTTCCATTTGCATTTTTCGTATTTACCTTAGTAAAGAGAAATAGAATAGTAGAAAAGAAAAGTTATTGCAATTCCCTGAGCGGAGTAATTAAGAAGTCGTGTCCACATTGGATTTTTACATCCAACTTCCGAAACGAGTTTCGGAATGTATTCGAGAAGCTTCTCTAGATTCGATGGCGAACGAGCGGAGCCACCGCTGTGAAATGCAAAAGAATGAAGAATTGCAAAGCGGGTAATTGTCCATGGGCCGGCAACAACGTCGTCACGAACCACGAGGTCGGTGCCTCGATGGCAATGCTCTTCTTCGCAGAGTTCAATGCCAACCGCGACTTCTTTTTTCCTGGGTCCATGACTGGCCGTGGCCTGCTGCGAATGCCACGAGGCCCCGGTTATGACGGCGACGACCGTCGATGCGATCTCGATTCTGGCTTCGTATCACGCTCTGTTTCTTCCGCCCAATTCCTCGGTAAACAATCAGTTCAGAAAACAATCTCGCCAAAAGTTTATCTGCTGCACCTTGCAGGATAGTTTCGGGTTAGACGAGCTCCGAGCTGATGTACGAGTTGGTCCCAGTCCCATCTTTAGATGGAATGAATCATTTTGCAAGCCATTACGCGATCTTCTACAGTAGAGTAATACTCTCTCTTTTTCGCGTGCTGGTAGTCTTTCTCTGATCGGGCCACTGACCCACAGGCCGAACCATTACGTATATACAGGACGGACGGAGTACTTTTTATGTGGCGTGAGCACAACGTTTCCGCTGGAGCGCTTCGACAATCGTCACCAAGTGATTGACTCTTGCTTTTACAGCAACTTTTCATGTCCTTGTATGGGTGTTTGGGATAATTCTGATCATATCAGTGGCCGCACTTGAAGATCGCCATTTTTTACTTTTGATGCTTGACACCACTGGATGAATGATACTGGAAAGCCTTGCGGTCTTTTCAATGTATTTCGTGTTTCTGAGCTCGATTTGCTCGAATCTCCATAGTTAAGAATGAATACGTATAAAGCGCGTGACAAAATTAGCGACGGAAAAAAACAAGAAGTCGTTTTCATGTGATTATAAAGTTTCATGGTGATGGGGTTCACCTGCTAAGTGACATAGTTCGACATTAGCCTGAAATTCCCTGTTGCGATGCACAAGACATGAGTTGTTGGATGGATGCATGGTCATCCTGTACATGGAGGTCTTTTTACGCTGACGTCGGCAGTTGCGAATAGCAGGTCACCGCGAGTCACTTACCCCACTGGTACAGAAACGTCACTACTTATTCGCTTGTTTTTAGTGAGCGGCATTTGTTGAAAGTCATTGCTCACTTTAACGTTCAGCAAACGATTCACCAGAAATGATCATTTAAAGAGCATGTAAACCCATAGTGGTCGGTCTAGAACACGATGGAGCAAGCTTTTTGAGTAATTTTTTGATCAAAAATTGGTCATCAAAAGTTGAGGGAAGATTAGAATTCGCATGATGCAGGGACAAGTAACTCAACAGCACTTATCCATCTCATTTGAATAGTTGAAAACCCTGCATTCAAATATTTTTCTGGGGATTTTAAAGCTGACGTAATATTCACACGAAGAATAGTGTGGTGTGTGTGTACGCGGCCCCGTTATATTTATTAGCTTCTTAGATGTTCCAACACTCCAAGTGCAATAACCCCCACAACCGGAAGCTCGACTTGTTTATAAATTAACGCCAGTACTGTTCCATTCTCTATGATGGCCGTCAATAACCACATACACACACACACATGTATGTATATAATCGAATGCATTGATTGATGTATTTTATATAATAAATATAAAATAGACAATAGGAAAAAGTGTCGCGTATGTGCGCGTATCGCCGCGCTTCGCATAAACAATTGTTATTAGCGGAGGAGTTTGTTGACTCCGTGCTTGGATTTTCAAGGGCAACCACAACTGCCACACTCGAATTGTTTAAACAAATAACGAGCGATCGAACAGGAAGAGCCACAGTTTGGAAGTCTTCTTTTCGTGGCCGTGACCGTGATCTTGAGCATGACTTTGATCGCACATCTATCGACCTCCGTTTCCGCAGATGATGATCATCTAAAACACCTCCACACACTGGACATTGAGTCGAAATCGATTGTTGACTTACCCTGGTTCGATTGCTGTGGATTTTCTGATTGGAATGGGCTTACTGCCAGGTTGTGGAGTTGAGATCGAGGCGTATCTGCAAAACATCCCAAACATTGTAGATTCCTTTAATAGAAAAAATGTCGAAGGACTTCGTGCGGTGGCCGAAACCAGCAAAGCTATCTTTGCGTCCGATTCTGACCTTGACGAAATTCACTTCTTCTTGCGGTCTTCATTTTCGATGTGCGCCATCTTCAGCGCCATTGGAATGAGGTTTCGGCTTGCCTTGACCATCCCGCAGATATGCGGTCGGGCGTGGTCCATTCGCCGAATTCACTTGACCCAGCAGTGCGATTTTTAGACACAACATCTAAGGCAGAAAAAAACATTGAAAAAAAGTAGCATAACTAGTTGGACTTTGTTGATGTAAATCGATACAGGATGATCCTAGTGACGACCAAAGCTAGACCAAGGCTTGCACGGTAAGTGAGTGAAGACTTGACGTGCAAGTTTTGGCTCTTGTCTTGGTATTGTTGAAAGAATCTTGCAAGTTTTAAATAAAGCGTATAATTAAATCAAATAAATTTGGTAGTAATACTTAGTATTCTTAGTACCAAATAATTTAAAAAATTACGATACAAAACAACAAAATAACCTCAGGCTCTATTGCTATGTGATTTGCGTATGATCTTATCGATGGTTAATTATAATAAAACCTGAAGTTTTAGAAAATACAAAAATCAATCAGAATATTCAAAATTATTGACAAAAAACAATCTCTAACAAACTATACCTCATCTAGTTATACAAAAATAAGGTCAAAGATGATTTATAATGAGCAAAGTTACCAATTTGGCTACTTAATTTTTTTCAAAATACTTCTTCCATAAAAAGAAGAATTTTTGTACAAAGCGGTTGAGATCTACCCGTTTTCCCATACTTACTGAAAGTTGCTGAAAACCACTTTTCTTTCATACGAGAAAACGTTTTAGAAGCGTAATACTGTAAATGTACTTAGGTTTATGTTGCCGGGTACAAAAATACCCCTCGAAGTTTTATATCTGCGTAGAGGATTTAAAAGCCTATTAAATAAGGCAAATTTGAAACAAAAGCGGGCGAAAAAGTTTATGCAGAATTAAAAATTGTAGACACATTACAAATATGTAAGTGTTTGTTGCTTTCGGAAAGGTTTTTCGGCAGCATTTCAGACCAGTGTTTCGATTTTTCATTTTATTTTCAATTCTTTTCTTTTGCAATAAATTGTATAAGTAATGCCCTTATTTTCTCCGACTATTTAAACAGCTCTGTAAATTTACCTTTTGAATTTAGCTGTTTTTGTTAATTGTAGTCATTCCATTTCTTTTGCAATTTAGTTTTAACGCAAAGAATGACACACACTTGTCTCTATCAAGGTTCGAATGAAACAAATATGAAATTTTTCATCTAAATTCCAATTTAAACAGCAGGCTACCGGTTGCAATAACTTCATTTTTTCATATGCTTCGGGTAAACTATTTTTCCGAAATATGTTTTTCGTTTATAGTTTTCAATTACAAAATTACAAATAAATGAAAATATAAAAACAATTCTTTGTTCAATGACGAATTTGATTCGTTATTGAATAAAGTAAATAAGCTTGTTACGGCTGCTTATCAAATTTAAATTTACTGTTAGACTCTAGCAAAACTCTTGTTCTTGCAGTTGTGCATTAAGTTGTGATTTTTTCTGCAAGGTAAAGATCAGTGTCGCTCATTACTAGATGATCGTTTGAAGGCCTTCAACCGCTTAACTTGTTGCGGAATTCGGCTTGAGAAGCACGTCTATGGAAATCGTTTTTCATTTTGGACACTTTCAAAAAAGGTTCCTCAACCGTTTCAGGGATCGAAGGACATTCAAAACCGACTGGTGTATTAGCTGATATATGAGCGTTCAAGTCGCACAAGCTTGGTCCAAAGGTTCCTTTTGTGTTTCTTCATGTTTGTCAAATCTTGCAAATAGAGCGAATATTTTCCAGTATCTCTGTACGTGTACAGGGAAAGATACTAACACAATCTCCATTATTCTATCAACTTTGCACATTTTTTACTCGAATACTTTCATTTAAATCCATCATGGTTCAACCAGCTCCAAACATTAATACCTTTAAAGAAAGGAAACTGATGTCTATGAATCAATGTGCCACTAATCAACATGAAAAACAGATCGAACATATTAAAATTACCATCACTCAGTGTTGGTTTGGTTTTTTTACTGAGGTGTGCAAATTTGATTTGATTCACAAAAAATGATCAAAGTTAGAACTTCATTTAAAGAATAAGGTTTGTG